CATAAGAATTTTAAATTTACAATTTTTTGAAATTTTCTCCGTAACCATTAGGCGCATTATAAGGCTTCAATATACTAAATTATTTGTTTTTTTAAGCTCTACAAAATAGTTTAAAGAGAAATTGCAAAATTTTATGTTTTTTGGGTCAAAAATGGGAAAAACCCATTTTTTCCCCATAAAAGCCCCCATAAACCCCCGTTCCCATAGTCCGATCATGCTGGTTCGCGAACTCGTTTGAATAAACGTAGGTTTACACGTTTGTACCAAATTTCATCAAAATCGGATCATTTTTGCTCGAGTTATCGCGCTAACGGACACATATATATATATATATATACTAGCTGACCCAGCGAACTTCGTATTGCCTAAGTTATAGGTTTCCCCTAAGACAGACCGATGGAAAGAAAGTACCGTTACGTTTAATTTTCAAGATGATCTCGTTCGCATCGCTCAATCACGTCCTGGTTGAAGTTCGTTCGCTACGCTCACTCACCTTTGGGTTGGAGCTCGTTCGCTACGCTCACTCACCTTTAGGTTGGAGCTCGTTCGCTGCGCTCACTTGCCTTCAGGTTAGCTCGTTCGCTACGCTAACTGGCCTCCAGGTTGAAGTTCGTTCGCTACGCTCACTCACCTTTGGGTTGGAGCTCGTTCGCTACGCTCACTCACCTTTAGGTTGGAGCTCGTTCGCTGCGCTCACTTGCCTTCAGGTTAGCTCGTTCGCTACGCTCACTCACCTTTTGGTTGCAAATTAGCTGTTGTCATAAATGTAAAAGAAATAATAGTGCTGCACCCTGTTGGTAATCCTTGTAACTTTAATGCTATTGAACATCATAGAACAGAACCAACTTGTTTAATTGAAACAGCTGTTAAGATTCATTAATTCCATTTCTCATAAGGTTAACATGGGAAACTCCAGAGTCACTGGGGCGGAGCCCTTTTAAGAATTTCGAAACGGGAAATAGTTTACGTCCGATTCGCATACCTACAGAATTTACACACCAAATTTCATAACGATCGGTGAAGTCGTTCCGGAGGAGTTTGCAGACAAACACTGTGACACGAGAATTTTATATATTAGATATATATATAAATATATATATATATATATATATATATATATGAATTTGAACGGATGGTGTTTTTGGCCTCTAGGGACCTCAAAACGAAAAAAAAAATCGGTCCCGGGTCCAGGTCTTACCATGAGTACTACGGTAATAGCTTATTCCCTATATGGGAAATCCGCTAAAAATCACAAATTATTCATGACATTAAAAACATAATCATAACTGTAAACAATCCTACTTTGACAGTTCTCATTGTGTTTCATAGTTGTTTGTTGCTGCTTAGTTCAAATTAGCTGTTTATGAAAAAAATATATAGTGCTGCACCCTGTTGGTAAATCTTATAACTTTTTAATGCTTTTGTATGTCATAGAAGCAACTTTTTAGTTGAAACAGCTGACTAAATGCTTTAATTCCCTTTAAATATGAATACTCATAAGGTTAACATAGTGTTGCGGGCTTAACAGGTTCTTTACAATAAAAACTTGGCGATTTTAAAATAGCTATTTTATTTACACTATTTACTCGCTATTTACAATAATTGCAATTACCTAACACCTAACTAATCCTATCTAAACCTAGCTATTGCCTATTCTAATTTACAATGTTTCTACTTACAGCTAGCCTCTACAGGATTTATCACTACTTCTGTTACAACACTGACCAGGCCCGGTCTGGCTCCATTGGAGGCCCTCGGCTAGATGTTGATTTGAGGCCCCCAGCCAGAAATAAAACAAGGACCATGGGGTGCTCTCACGGCAACAATTAGTTAGCATATTTGTTTGCTGCATGCCACAGGTTCATAAAAGGGGCCTAATGTGGTTTTAAATGATAAAAGTTTTGGATAATTTTGATTAAATTAATAATTGCTAAATTTCCATAAATTAAAATCTTTGTATTTATAAATTTAATTCCAAAGGTATCAATCAATTTAAATTTGATATAAAATTTGCTCGTATTTCTATTCACCTCTACAGCTGCCATAAAATTTAAAGGCCTATTCTTAAAATTGTTTTAAGTCTTCAATTTAAAAATAAGACCAAAACCTAGTCTTGGAGTTTTTGCCATACATGGTAAAAAAGCATATCACGTACCACTTTTGAATTTTGAATACATCTATGAATGGACCATATTTACTGTTTATCACACACTTTACTCCATAGTTGTACTTCAGCAACAAAGACAAACAGAAATAATCAAAAGTATTTTAATTTAAACGTTATAAGGCTTACAAAAAACTTCTGATGATTTCCGCCTGCCTGTTTGCGACTTCTCATTGTTAGCAGAATCGGAACTGAAACCAGCTAACCTGCTAACCATAAGTTCAAACAGTTTGAATTTAATTTGTTTTTATTTTGAAATATTTCCTATCCATTTTTACTTGCGCCACTTGGGTGCACACGTTTCATTTTATAAACTGAACGATTCACGTGTTAGTAATCTTTCAAACAATACGCCATAACCTACTACGTAGGAATGACTGGAAACAGTCGTCGGTGATTAAACTAGTCGTAACACCATACTCTACCTTTTGGTGTTGAGATGAGGCTGACTGGTCGAATAAAATCAGTTGTAGATAAACTGACGGATAGGAATTGGGAACAGTTTTTAGGGATGATACATAAAATGTAATTGCATTTATTTTTGTTGTTTAAAAAAATATGAAATTGCCAAGACACTGTGTTTTATATACTGATGATTTAGATTTTAATGCCTGTAGTAAAATCTGTTTTAAAAACCAGGTAACAAATAAATAGGAATATTTGTTATACTGAGTTAGAGACATTAGGCCTACTTAATAATTTAAATCTTGCAGTCATGTATAACTAAAAATTTTTTATTAATTGTAAATGTTGTCATTCTATTACGTTTTATACCAAAGTAACAAAATATTAATTCAAATGACAACAAACAATAGGAATCAAGCGGGAAAACTCTAATGTTTAAAGTAAAATTATATTCGATAATTTTCTTTGCAATGACTGAAACCACTGCACCGATTGAACGCCACCAGTTGTTGTTGTAGTGGAATTCTCTCGGTTTTTCATTCGACTGAAAAAAAAAACCACTGGTTTAAAAAACAACCGATTGACAAATTGACTAGTCGATAGTTTTTTCCAGTCGGTTGTCCCATCACTATACTAGTACAAGCGCTAAGCTGTCTGCTTGAGTCCAGACACCAGACATATCGCTGACGCGCCGGCACGGCAATGTCTCGTCACTACAGCGGAGCGCTGGGCACTGAGCTGATTCGAACGGTGCGTTGCAGTGAGATCGGTGACTATCCTCTAGTACCGAGTGACTATCACTGTACTTAGGGGCTACCCCTAACTGTAATTCAATTAAAAAAAGAGTATTGTTTTTTAAAAATTGTTTTTGCAAGACTACGTCGCTGTGAAACAGTTAAACAAAATATTTTTTTTATTATAACTAATTTTTTTTTAATTTATTTTTTGGCTTTTGGAGGCCCTCTTGAGCCAGAGGCCCTCGGGGATCGCCGACCAGCCGCCCTGGCCAGACCGGGCCTGACACTACACTGTCACTACTGTCACTACACTGTCTCTACACCGTTACTACACTGTCACTCTCACTAGCACTAGCACTGGTCACTAACACCGACGGGCACTTGCCGCGACGATTCTCGGAAGGCTGAACTCAACTCCACTGCCGTGTGCCGGAAGACGGTCCCTTATATAAGTTTACCGTGGAACATTCTGGAGACCCCTAGTAGCCTAGACAAAGGTGTTTACAGATCACTGTGGAAGCTTCTGGTGGATGTCAAAGACCCTATTGACGTAGTCCGTTGACATGGGTCTATTGTCTTTCAGGGAACCCCGTGTTGACAAACAACCCTTTTTAGACGGCGCCTGGCTATTGTTGCGCGGGACTCCTGACTTGTAACAATAGGGAACTACAGAGCCACTGGGGCGGAGCCCGAAGGGATTTTTGGGATAAGAATATGCCTATATGTGAATCGGGAATGTGAACTATCATCATGCCAAACTTTAGCCCAATCCATCCCCCCAATCCCCCCCCCAAATCCCCCAATCCATGTTTAGGTTTATGCGTGATTGACCTTCAAACACACAAACAAACAAACAAACGAACAAACAAACACACAAACTTTCACATTTATAATATTAGTAAGATAAGTCAACTGTTGTAGTTTGCTTGTTTATAAACATATTTTGATCGAGTTTGGAATATACTTTAATTTCTTAATAAACTATTAACATTTTACAAAAAAACACACACACTTTTACCCTCCCTGTTGCAGCAAACCTAAGTACTCATCGTTAAACTAATTCTCTTTAAATAGGAAATAAATGTGATATTTTTATGGAGGCATTTTAGTGTAAATCGAATCAGGTTAATGGAAATTCGCTTAGTCTGCAGGTTTGCTGCGGCGGGGGTATTTATAGTTTAAAACTATTACTTCCAAACTAAAGAACTAATTACAAGTGGTGATAAATCAAAGTCAAGGTACGACATATAATCCTTATTTATAATATCTGAAGGCGATTTCTATGAAACACTACTCCTCTGTTAATAATGGACGGATTTTTGCAATGAGCCAAAATTAATTACTTTTTGTGAAGACACCCCCTCTCACTCATTCCTGTCATAAATGTCCTCGGGGCTTGCCTGTATTTTTTATGACAAAAAGATTTTTTTTTACAGACGAATATTTGTATGAATTGCATACTAAAACAGCTGTTCAAGAACGTTTGCTTTCAGAAAGTTTGTTTGCAGTTCCGATAACTGGAGTGGGGTGATTGATTACATTATCTTTCAGTTGACTCTTTTTTTAGTCGTCGGCAATTATGACTGTTGTTTTGAAATAACGCCTGTAATACTTTGCAATTGCTCGATTTGAGCAACAGATGCACTAGTATATTATGTAAAGAAGCTGAAAAGGAAAAAGGAAGAATTCAGCACTTGACCTTTTTACAAATCATTATACAAGATTTATTTTCAAATATTCAGTTTTTACACACCAGTGCTTTACAGAGTCCTAGCACCATCTTACAATATTACAACATATTTTTTTTATTATTTTATCAATTCCTTTTGGTTTAACATTGTAACATTGTAAACTTATTGAACTAACAAGGCAAAAACAGGTGTATATATTTTTTTATTTTTAGATTTTTATGATATGTTACTAATAAATATCATAGAGTATAATTTCCCAAAGTATAAATAATAGTACTATAGAAAATAAACAAGCGGTTAAAATGAGGAAAAGTAAGTAAAATATGGGTATTGCCAACACTGAGTAATTATTTTTAGATAATTCATGTCAAACCTTTGAGGTCACTGATTTATTCTACTAATTAATACTATGCATAATTTTATTTAAGTATATATAATATATAACTTCCCATGTATCTATTTACAGGTTGATATTTGACAACTGATTAGAAGGTGTGATTTTAATCGAGATAATATAATGTAAAGAGTATAAAGCTAACTGAAATAATTGAATTAACACATCCTTATATATTAAAGTGAAACAAATATCAAGATTTAATTTATTAATAGATATTTTCAAACCATGGTTCCTACTGCATAAATAAATCCAATGTAAATATTACTCGAGGAATCAAATCCGAATTTATAAACAATAGAGATTGCCTGATATTAAAATAAATGGTTAGAAAAATTGAAAATATCTGAAGCTACAAACTACAAATCATAAAAAAAATATTGTATTTAACAATGATCAATTTTATTACCTGTAAAAAGAAGAAAAGTTACTCAATCTATCAAACCAGATTATTTAGTAAATTATCCAAGTTTTACAAATTTAAACAGCCATATAACAGTCCTAGTGTAAAACGTTTTTAATTAGACACAGAAGTTAGAAATCACTAAACATTAACAATAATTGCCAATTGTGGATTTTCATCAAAAAGGTTTAGTTGACAAATTCGGATTTGATTGTAAACTACACACACATCCTTGCACAACATTAACAAAGTAAAACTAGATGATTAATGTAAAGCGGTCTCAACTAGCAGAATAACACAAGCACAGCCCAGTCTAATGGTGTACCAAAAACAAATCAAACTACGTCAAATCTGTAACATTTACCGTCACACACCATTAGGAAAGACTTTCATATTTTCTAATCCACACTTAAAAAAGAAATGGATTAGTCGATGCTTTGTTCTAAAATATTTTTTAAAGATTCTCTTTGCTTTAACACACAAAATAACAAAATGCAATTTGCAGTTTTTGTCTAAATTTTTACAATTATACTACACAAAGGACACAAGCCAGTAAAACTTATTTTTTCACAAAACACTTAGTAACATTGATTATGAACAAACAGTGAAACAAAATAAGTAGAAATTTAAGTTGAAACATCTACAATAATACTAACTATTTTATTTGTGGAATTCCTTGTACAAGATGTCCATAAATGTTGTACATATTGTGATTGATGAGGTAAGGAATATGATCATTGGTTCTTGATTATAAAAATTAATTTGAATTAAAACAAAACAATATGCAAAAAGTTTCAGGGTCGAGGAATATCTTTTGAGAGTCAACAAATTGAAAACACACAAAGTACTTCATTTACAAACCTCTTTGTACTCGGTAAAAAGAGAAATAACCTACAATAAAGCTGATAATCACAAATATTGTAAACATCACAACCACAAGGTCTCTTAAAAGTTCCGTTCTGTAATCGATGTATGGGAAAATGATTATATGCCACCATAAACACAATGTCAAAACATAACTAGGCTAACTCTAAAACCCTATTAAATGCAAAATATTAACATTTTGTTATTAAAAAATCATCAAAACCCAAAACATAAAATAAGTGTCACTAATAAGTTTTTCTCTTCTTTTTCAAAAACTAACATAAATCATTAGGTAAAACACAACCAGTAATTTATTCAAATGATCAATCTCAAAATGTTGTAGGACAACTAACACTTTATCCATTGCATTTTAAAATTATACACTGTTAGTGAACATTTAAAAAGTATTTTTAAATTAGGTAGAGATTTTTTTAATTATAAAACTTTTATTATAACTTTTTTATTATAAAGTAAGATATACTAAAAAAATGACGGCTTGGAAATATTTTTACAGAGGTAAAATTTCTATTATTCCCTGATAGTTGCTAAAAAGTCAAGAGAGACAATTTTTTTAAATGTAATTTTAAAACAGTTGTACAATTGACTGACCTCAAAACTAAAAATCCAACACAACTGTAAAACACAACTAAAATAATTATACTTTGTTTTGGGTTTTGAAAAATTGATTTTAGCTTTACTGATCTTTACGACTTTTCAAATTTGAGTCATAAACATTATAATATAACACTAATTCACCTAGTTTGTAATCCTTTGATAATTTCTGACAAAAAACATTACATTGTTTTACGACATCGTAAATTTGACAAAGTGAGCATAAATATATAAAACATTACAAAATGAATAACATAATCGACATTTATAGTACATATATTAAACTGGGCTAGATATTTCAATATTAGCTGGCTACCGTTTTCACCGTCCAGCCATTATGTATTAATAATTTACAACATTATTCACATTTAATCAACAATCATTCAATAAATAAATATATATTTATAACAACGATACCTCCGCGTTTATTATGTATACTTGCTAGTTAACCCCAATCATTCAACTATAACTTCCATTAACCTAAACATCGCAGTCAACTCTCATTTAACATAACTTGTAGTGAACACTGTTGCAGAGAAAAACAAAACCAACACGATTCACAAACGTTATTTGATCAATTGGAATGTAAATTTGGAAAAAATATCATAATTTTCCATTAACAAGAATATAATAAATTTATTCTCTGATTTACGATCTTTTCAACATGTTTGTTAACACATTTTTAAAAATCTTTGTAAACCTTTTATATATTTTAAATGATATTGAGAAGGACGTTCAATAATAATTACCAATATGTTTTTTGTTTTAAAATAAAACTAAATCTTTAGATGAAGAATTCCATTTAATGAACTAGAGTCGGGACCACGTAAGTTTGCAGTTGGTAGCAGCCAATCACAAGACAAGGCTAGTGCGACGTTGCCACATCACCCGTTGACAACACTAATTCAAATATACTAAGCAATATTTTCAACTCAGCTGATATTATTAGATTTGGCAACACCGAACGGTTCTCATTGGTTCATTCAAACCCATATGGTAAATAGGCTCCTCCCTCAACTGCAAACTTACGTGGTCCCGACTCTAGGCTACAAGTTAGTTTGTTTACAAGTAAGTTTGTTTACAAATACAATATAATAATAATTAACAACCATATGACTTTATAGTCATATGTCACATATGTGTCATATGTTACTTTATAGTCATATGTCACATATGTGTCATATGTTACTTTATAGTCATATGTCACATATGTGTCATATGTTACTTTATAGTCATATGTTTGTTAATTATTATTATATTGTTTTTGTAAACAAACTTACTTGTAAACAAACTAACTTGTAGTTCATTAAATGGAATTCTTCATCTAAAGATTTCATTTTATTTTAAAACAAGAAACAAATAGGCTATTTAAAAATTATTCTCAAAATCTTTCTGGCATTGATTAAATTACTTAGTCAGATTATTCAGTAGGAATGCATTAGCCTTCTGAACAGTGTTCACTTATGACTAGATGTACAAGTTACAATGTTCAATGTTGTTGTACCAGCGAGCCTGTGCTCAGACTGATGGCCGTGGAGCTGCCGAGGGTCGATCCGAGGTCTTGGTAGCTGAAATCATACCGCAACACTTAATTTAATCTCATGCATTTGTAACAACAAAACTGACCATCAGAAACATTCACCATCTGACTAATTCAAATGAATTTAGTGAATTTACTTCATATTAAGTGGCATGCACACCTTTTCCGAGAAGAAGTGATATATTAAATTCAGATCTTGAATTCACCCAATCTCGAGAAATCATTTTATTCTCAAATCTCATACGGTAGACGATCCACAATAATGAGGCTAAGTGATCGTGGATAATGCAAACCTAACCTGAAATTCTCAAGAAATAACTAACATTGACTCTGAATGTATAGTTAACCTTTAATACAGGTATACTGTAGGAGTTTTTTGGTCCGTGTTTTTGACCTAGGACAGTATTGGATAATATTTAACTAGGTAATTTTTGACTAATAAATTGTAAAATACGTCAACATAAAACAGAGCGAACCTGAACTGAGGGAAGTAGGGTTGTTGTTGTTCAAACTCCTCAGCGATGCTGTTGAGAGGTCCTTGATGTTCTGGAGGTGTCAGTTCCACACTCTCTCCTGTGAACTCTGTGTCGAAATACCTCGTGTCAGTGTCAGACTTGACCTGGGGCTTGAATGGAGGCGTGATCTGGAACAATTCATGTCACAAACTCAAATGTATGCTTTCTTTATGCATTTTTATGTACAAAAGTGATTAATTTTTTTACTAGGTTCTAGCCCGGGATTGTTTTTCACCCCACTTCAGACACCAAGGGCTTGCGGCATTATCACTTGGATAAAATGCATTGGTGATTGAAATCAAGCTCTCTACCACTAGACCAGCCCCCTCCTTAGGAGGTAAATTATAAAAAAACTAGCAAACTATTTCCAGGTCTAATCATAGGTTAAAATTTATGCTGAAATCAACATGTAGATCAATTATTATCAAAACTAAGTTAAGGAATGTATTTGCCCAAGGCCACACTAAAAAAACAGGCCGTAATGGTCGTAAAGCATGACTTCACGATAGAAGACAGCAATGACGTAATGTTTGCCATTTGTGATCAGCTGCTTGTTTTAATCTTTCCTTGGAAAATAAATAAACAAATACCTACGTCATTGCCGTCTTCTATCGTGACGTCATGCTTGACGAGCATTACGGCCTGTTTTTTTTTAGTGTGGCCTTGATTTGCCCCCAAGGATGTTCTTTTGTAATGGAATGTGGGAATAACCCACATCACCGCCAACAATTATAAAATAAGGTAAGAGTCAACCCCATCAGCTGATCGAAAGGCAAGCAGACAGCTCTAGTCAGAAAATTGCGACACTAGCGCTACTGCCGGGAAACGAGGAACGGACCGGCAAGGAGGTTGGTCTTTGTCGAACTTCGTAACGGTGTTCATCGGCTACTTCTCTTCTCTTGGTAACGTAATAGTGTAGGGTAGGGATGACCAATTAGTAAATTAATCGTTAGGGGGATAAAGGGGTTAAGGAGTATCTTTTCTAAATTAGCCAAGTTCAACCAACAATAAATTAAGTGATGTAACTAAATTAAACTTTACAATTATCAATATCCAACTTAGGGCAAGTTGTTGCAGGCATCTAATAATGGCGAGGGCTAATTAGAATATGAAAATGTAGTTAATCTATTAATTCAAGACCCATCAAAGCTGGTTTACGCTGAGCAGGGTTTTCGTGAGAGCTATTGGGAAATGGAATCCGTACGTTTTTCGTTAAAATGTGGATCTGGGTGGATTTATTCCAGTCAGGACCCCACAGGAAAAATATTTAAAAATATATTTTTTTCAAATATTTATTCTTATTTAGTTTATGTCTTTATGGTTCAACCACAGGTTGCAGTTGACATTGTTACCATTATGTACACAAACAACTTCTTGGCCACCATTGAACCTGAAAGCATCTTTTTTGGACCCAACTCATCCTAGGTAGAAAATGCTGTCAATCGCAATAAACTACATACCGGTACCCTAATTTTAGTGAACAGTATAATACTTCAGTATAAAACTATCAGGGATACGCACAAAAATATAGCTTATTGAGCTTATAAACCCTTGAGAGGGAGGTAGAACTTCTCATTTACCTTTTTCTGATTGAGTTCTGTCCAGTTAATGGATCGGAAGAAGTTGTGAGCCATGATATCCTTAGCATCGTCAGGACCTCCCCCAAGCCTCCTGGTAGGGTCCTTAACCAACAGTCCACTGAGCAGGTCCTTGGCGTCTATGGAGATGTTTCGTGGGAACTTTACCTACAGAAGGGAAACAAGGTGAGCATAGCAGTTATTATTATTATTAGTTCAAGACAGCGATGCATACCTAGGAGCATATTTTAAGCCAAACATGTGAGGGTATAATGGAGTGAGGTGATTTGTGTAGCTTTGTTACTGGCTAAGATCAGCTGTTTCTTGAGCCAGGACTATTCATTAATAAGCATAATGATAGAGTACAACAGGGGCCTGTTTCATAATAAATTACAAACCAATATTATTAGTAAGTCAGCTGATCGCACAATGGAAATCTAATGGAAATTACAAGTTACAAGTTAAAACTTTTAACTTGTAATTTATTATGAAACAGGTCACTGGGCCTAGTTTCAAACCATCATAAAGCTTTAAAAAAAAGGTTGTATTAACCAAAGGACATGTGAATGATGAAGAAGACACACAGGATTTGAGCAAGTGATGCAATTGTTTGGCGACGCCAAGTATTTTTCAGGGGATAAGACCAGAAGTAAATTATGAGGGTTCAAAACATTTCCCATGTAACACACAAACTAAACACGGCAACTTTGTTCTCTTTGGATTTTGATTTTACCAAATGGGGTCTATTTTGATTGATTAAATATTTTAACTCCAATGTGTAAAACTGCCCTTCTCCAGCTTCAAAGTCCAGTTTCAAGCCCAAACAAACAGAGTTCCATCAAATTTTAAGTTTCTGAAACTTAATGGAGTCTCATAGAGTTAAAATTAAATTGTCACACAATGCATTCCACATTACACACACCGCACAGACGATGCTTTCTGTTATCTTAAGACTTACCTCTTCCATAAGTATAAGAGTGAAAAGCACGTCGTGGTCCCTGTTGTAGAATGGAAGCCGACCACACATCATTTCATACATAACAACTCCGACTCCCCACCAGTCAACCGCTCTGCCGTAGTCATTATCCTCTAGAACCTACAACATTTGTCACGGTAGCTGCTGAGCAAACAGTTAAAAGTCAAATTTATTTATTTATCTTGTGTATACAAACATAAATAGTGCCACAAAATAAGGTGAAATAAAAAGAATTGTATGGTAAAAACAACCAGACCTCAGTCAATCAATGAGTTTTTGTTGAGGGACATATCAAATTGTGCGAGGGACATATCAGCACGAGAAAACTAAAGCTGCAAAATCGATGACAATGATTAAGAATGGGGAAAAGGAAAAGGTGTCGATTATAAACTATAACATCAAGTTGTATAGAACAATATAATCCTATACTCTAATACGAGCAATGTTTGCTTGTATGTATGTATGCTTGCTTGCAAACAAGATCTCAAAAACGGCTCCGACGATTTTCTTCAAATGCTGTAAATAGTTTATTTCTGGCCTAAAAACGAGTTTACTGCAGTTAGAACTGCCAACAAAAATCTAATTACGTAGAAAAATGAAACTGAAAATCACATTTTTTTAACATTAGTCTTATGGGTTGCTAGGTAACCATGTTGGCTGAATTAAATAACAAGGAAAAAGTAAACAAAAGACTTGAAGTTGTAGAATGTGTTCATAATAAGCCAATTACCCACAGTATACTAGCAAATTACAAATACAGTAAAAAAGGAAAAACATCACTTGTTAATATTTAGCAAAGATTATACTGAAGATAACTCGATACATTGTAGCATAGATAAAACATACTCCCTGGTTAGTCTATGATTGTAGTAAAGGGTAGCAGTGCGAAGTCTGGAATCTATTTATGAAATCATAAAATAATATGGGAATGGAGGGAAACAGGTCCGTGACGTGGGAAGTGATGAAGGAAGTAGTAAAGGCGAGCAGTCCGGAGTGTGGGGACTGTTTATGACGATAAGATAAATCGTGGGTATCTGCAATCCTAAAATGCTATGGGAAGGAAGGAAAACAGGTCCGCGACGTAGGAAGTGGTGAAGGAAGTAGTCAAAGCGAGCTGTCCGGAGTGTGGGAACTGTTTATGACGATTAGATAAGGGTATGGGTAATCCTAAAATGCTATGGGAAGGGAGGGAAACAGGTCAGTGACGTAGGAAGTGGTGAAGGAAGTAGTTAAGGCGAGCTGTCTGGAGCGTGGGAACTGTTTATGATGATTATATTAAGGTTTTTGCAATCCTAAAATGCTATGGGAAGGGAGGAAAACAGGTCCACGACGTAGGAAGTGGTGAAGGAAGTAGTCAAGGTGAGCTGTTCGGAGTGTGGGAACTGTTTATGACGATTAGATTAAGGTATCTGCAATCCTAAAATGCTATGGGAAGGGAGGGAAACAGGTCAGCGACGTAGGAAGTGGTGAAGGAAGTAGTCAAGGCGAGCTGTTCGGAGTGTGGGAACTGTTTATGAGGATTAGATTAAGGTATCTGCAATCTTTAAATGCAATGGTAAGGGAGGGAAACAGGTTTGCGACGTAGGAAGTGGTAAAGGAAGTAGTAAAGGCAAGTAGTATGGAGCGTGGGAACTGTTTATGACGATTAGATTAAGGTGTCTGCAATTCTGAAATGCTATGGGAAGGGAGGAAACAGGTCCACTACGTTGGAAGTGGTGCAGGAAGTAGTCAAGGCGAGCTGTCCGGAGTGTGGGATCTGTTAATAACGATTAGATTAAGGTATCTTCAATCCTAAAGTGGAATGCAGGGAAACAGGTCCATGACTAGGAAATGGTGTAGGACGTAGTAAAGGCGAACCGTGTGGAGTTTGGGAATGGATTTATGTATCTCCAATACTAAGACTGCTTTCAGAGTGAACTAATGATTTTCCCCGAGCAAAGCTCGGTCCCCAGGTACTACAGTCTAATATGAGCTATCTGAAGAGTTGAAACATACCTCAGGTGCTAGGTACTCTGGTGTTCCACAGAAAGTCTTGGTAGTTCTCCCGTAAGTTATGTCTTCTTTGCATAGACCAAAGTCAGCTATTTTAATGTGACCATCCTTGTCCAGTAATAGATTTTCAAGTTTCAAATCTCTATAGATTATCCCTTCTTCATGAAGGTAACCGAGGGCTGATATTATTTCGGCTCCATAAAACCTGAAATCAACGCAAATAATTCAGTCTAAAAACAGTAAAAACTATTATTTATAGATCTAACTATGAAAATTAATATTAATAACCAATTACTGTAATATTGATTTTATTTCATGATAAGTTTTTTAACGAGCTGAATTTAAATAATATGGGTAGTTTTTTATATATATATTTAAATTGGTACTTTATGTTACAGTTTTTAAATAGGCCTATGTTCTTTCACAGCAGGGTGCCAACCCACCATTGTTTTATGTGTTTTCTATTATTGTACAGTATCAGCTGTAAATGAGTTGTGAAAAATAAAGCACTTATTCCTTTCTTTCTTCATAAATTCGTCATCATATAACTGAGTTGATGAGTGGTTAAGGAACAGCTGAATCTTAATCAGTATGAAACTAAATTAAATTGTTTGTTGTCATGAAAACTAGATGATGTGGTTGTCAAAACAAAACCATTAAAATATCTTGATCTTGGCTTTACAATAAAATGAACCATATAAATTCTATCTTTAGTATAATAGTACAGTGGAGTCCCGATAATCCGAACTTCGGTAATCCGAAACCAAAAAATATACTTTTGAAAATTTTTTGAAATTTTTTTTATTAAACTTTTAACACAGTTAGCTGTACCTCGTCAAAGAATTCTGTAGCGGCCGGGCGAGATAGAATTTTTTTGTAGAGTATTTTAGTAAATATTTCACCATTCATTTTCGTCCGCCAAATCACAAATGGATTTTATTAAGAGATAATGCTGCAGCCACTAAGTAATGTGAAAAACAATCCCGGGCTCGTGCCTGTGTTCTAAGAAAAAAAAAATTAAAAAAATTAAAAAAAAAAATTTTTTTTTGAAAATAAAAAAAAGTCGTTTAATCCGAAATTTTCGGTTATCCGAAATGGGCCCGGTCACAACCATTTCGGACTAACGGGACTCTACTGTATGTAGTTATACAGTATAATAGCAGTATTTATATTATTCTTATTTAGAAAATAATAAAGCCTTAATTGCATTCCCACTTCATAATATTAAGGATATAGTGAAGAAAAATGTAATGTTTGAGAGGAACAGAAATTTATAAAACAATGTATGTTATCGAAATGTTTAAAACTTGTTACAAAGCTAAGATTGTTACCTGGTCCGATCTTCACTGAAGACTCGTTCTCGACTCAGATGGAAAAACAGTTCTCCACCATTCACGTACTCCATGACAAAACATAACCTGTCTGCCGTTTGGAACGAGTACTTGAGAGACTGGAATAAAATATATCTATAAAATATAGGCCTATTGTTTACATTTCTCTTACAGAAAGCTTAAGCTGTCTCACTTCAAAATACATAATACGAGGCCAGTTCGGAAAGTAACCTCCTTTTTCTGTAAATAAAAAAACACAGAAGTAGAAACAACATTTTCATTGTATACATCTTAAAATTACGTCTTTCCTCTAACATAGTTTCCTTGGACGTTTAACATTTAACTAAGAAATTCCCACTTTACAAAAAAAATCATCCACCAGTGCCTTGAGCCATCCCGTGACTGCATCTTTCAGTTAACTTACTCATCATCGTCAAATCGCTGGGAGCCAAGCCATATATTTTCATGTGATTGAAAAAGTGGTAGTCGCTCAGAGCCAAGTCTAGGCTATATGGAGGATGCGAAAAACATTCCATTTGAACTGGTCCTAAAGGTCTTTGGTTTTCTGGGCAGTATGAGGACGTGCGTTGTCATGCAGAAGGACGACACCAGACGACAGAATACCGCGACGTTTGTTTTGGATGTAGGTTCTTCACTGTCTTAGGTTCTTCAGTTTCAACACACAAATCCGCATTGATTGTTGCACCACGTTCCAAAACTTCAACTGGCAGTAACCCTTTGGCGTCCCAAAACGCAGTTGCCATGAGCTTTTTTTTAGAAAAATCTTGCCGGGATTTTGTTGGTTTGTATGGTGATGCCGTTTGACCCCACAACTTAGACTGTTTTTTGGTCTCAGGATTCACGCATTTGACCCAGGTTTCATCGCCAGTCACAATTTAGTTCAAAAAAATGTCTCCTTCCTTGAAGTATTGAGTCAAAAAATCCAGAGCCAAAAGGTCATTTGTTGAGACTTGTGGTTTTCCGAAAGGATTTTCAGGACCCACCGAGCACAAAATGTACCTAACCTGTCAGTCACAAATTTGTACAGAACAGTAGTCCTGGAAATTGGTGAAAATTTGTCTAAAAGCTCTGAGATAGTGAATCGTCAGTTGTCACAAATCTTTGCATAGATTTTCTCAACCAGTTCATCACTGACCTCAAAAAAAAGAATGACCTCAAGAAATGGCCTGCCATTTCTTTCTTCATCATGCACATTCGTTTGGCCATTTTTAAACGAGCGAACCCATTCCTGAACAACTCCTTTACTCATTATTTTAGGTCCATACACAGCACAACGTTCTCTATGAATAGCTGCTGCCAAATACTGTTTAGCAATGGAAAAACCAATCCCAGCATGAGTGCATACACTTGGCAGGTTCGACTAGCTACGGCAAAAAAAACTAGCGCTCAGACGACCTTTAAACTACCACGGCTAAACGCCGATTGTGAAGAGCGGCGGCATTACCCCTCCACTTCCCGGGCAAGAAGCAAACGGAGGTATTTTCCGAGCTGCCCTCGTACATATACACTTAAAAATTTATTCTAAAAACCAACTTTTAAAAACATAATACATTTTGTTGCTTCATAATTTTTGCTGTTAAATGTTTTTTATTGACTGTCATTGCATTTTACAAGAAACTTTTTAAAGCTTGATTTTACATGATTTAGGGACGTATTTTTATTTTAATAATAGGTGGGTGCATTTCAAATGCAGTAAAAACAGATTGGGTTTACAAGTCCACTTTATTTGTGTGCTTACTAACAAAAAATTTAGATTTTCAGAATTAAAATGTCGCCTAGTTAAGATATAGATTGTGTAGCAGAGATAGATTGTCTTTCTACAGTGCAGTTGATTGGTACAGATAAACAACCACTTTGCATATGTATACGTTCATTATTCTGTGTAGCCTAGTATACTTTAGAGGAAAATCTTTCAAAATTTAGCAAAGATATTTGCAGTGCGGCTGAAAATTCAAACATTATCAATGGTACAAGATTAATTCTACAGAATTTTTAATGTTTACATGGTTACTCGTTTTTACAGGTCTTTATGATATTTACAGGTCTTTAGGTTATATGACCTAGGCCTGGTCCTGTAAGAATCGGTTAAGAGAGGGGTTGATATTTACAAATTTGTGTTTACATTGTATGTTAACAACAGAAACTCACAATCAGGAAAGGATGACTTGTAGTTCTGAGCACTCTGTTTTCCGTTAATGTATGAGCGACTTCATCTTTCTGGATTATCACTTCTTTTTTCAGTATTTTTATGGCGTACAGCCTACCAGTTGCTTTCTCCCTGCAAAGAATAACTTTGCCGAACGTTCCTTTCCCGAGAACCTTTAAGAACTCAAAGTTCTCAAGAGTCTGAAAAAGACAAAATATGAGTACATGAATAGAGAACAGATTCAACTTTGAACAACGAACCAGAGAAAAAGATACATAGAAGAATTAGTAATATTGAATAAAATGTTGCTATGAAGAATTCTCTGTAATATGTATGTAATATATCTCTTTTTCCTACTCAAAACCTTTCTTGCTTAAAAATGCTGTTCCAGTGACACTGAAATAAATTAATTAATACATGTAACACTTTGTTACCACACTATGTTTTATTGATCATGTATATTGCATTATTGTTAACCCTAATAACAATCTATATATTAATTTGAAACTGTTTTTCTTTGTCATAGCTAAATTGAGAGAACGGCTGGGCGTAGAAACTCGGTAGAGGTGTCTAAAGAAAGGTCTTGGTCTGTAGATGAGCCATCAAAAGAGAAACGTGGTAAATTCCCTTGGGGCTCTGCCCCAGTGGCCTTTGAATTCCCATCCCATGTTATTCTTATGGAGGAAAAACTGGGTTTTTGTCCCAGCTAATTTGAGAGAACGGCTGGGCATAGAAACTTGGTAGGGGTCTCTAAAGAAAGGTCTTGGTCTATAGATGAGCCATCAAAAGAGGAACGAGGTAAATTCCCTTGGGGCTCTGCCCCAGAAGCCTTTAAAGTTGCCTCTTCAAATTTGTTTACCATATGCATAATTCTACACTACTTTTTAATGAAACAGCTGTTAATATTTAAATTGTGATTTATTGATTTTTTCAAAATGAAGTACAGTATTTGCAATGGGTTTTTCTGATTTTAAAATTGATTTTATTCTGCATCGTGTCATGTTTTGCAATATAATGTTCTATTACCAAATCAGTGGAAAATTCTAATATCACAGTAACTCTTAAAATTATTTCTTAAGGAGTTAACTTACAAGACCAGTTTTTTGAGAAAAGATAAGATATTTACAAAAGATTTTGATTATATCTAACTGTTGTGTAGATCGTGAGTATTTCCATACGTGAGTTGCCTGTAATGCTTCGCAATTGCTCGAATTCGAGCAACAGGTACACTAGTATTGCATTATTGTTAACCCTAATAACAATATTGCATTATTGTTAACCCTAATAACAATATTGCATTATTGTTAACCCTAATAACAATATTGCATTATTGTTAACCCTAATAACAATATTGCATTATTGTTAACCCTAATAACAATATTGCATTATTGTTAACCCTAATAACAATATTGCATTATTGTTAACCCTAATAACAATATTGCATTATTGTTAACCCTAATAACAATGAAGGATTTGATTTGATATAGGATGAAGTTGTTAGTTTTTCTTGTGCCTGAGAGGACTCTAGGACTAGCCTGAAGTAACGTGTAAAACAGTTTTACTCCAACACTCACCACTTTCTTCTTTCCCGTGGACTTGCTGCTGGACGTCCCCTGCAGTGAGAACTTGCTCTCGAGCTCCTCTAATGCTCCGGCCCCTCCAGTCTCGCCACTGCTGACGCTGTGTTGGGACAATGTCCCGCCACGCATCTCCACGTCCTCAGAGTCTGCCAGCCGGTCCGCCACACCTTGGATGGCGGCCATCCAGTCCTCCCTGTAATGATAAGCCTTCCATGGTCACTAACTCCACAAACTTTGTCTTTGTCCGGTGGAGTGATTCCGCGTCAACAAAAACAGCTTGAATTAAAATTTTACCCGACCATTTCAGTTTTCATTGAAATTTGATGTGTGTACACCTCATAAAAACCAAGAGAAACACAAAATTTATTGTCTAGTGTTATGTTATCGTGTGTAATAACTGGTCGTGCCTATTACAACACTATTTACTGTAATATGTAAATACACTCAATTCTTTCTTACTAAGCCAACATGCATTACAAGAAGTATAGGTCTATTCCAGACAATCAAAATCCAATTCCAAACTAGGATTGTTAGATTTTTAAAAGCCAAACTACTTTTATATTCAGTACCTCTCCTTGTTGGACTCGACGTGGAATGTGCGCTCGATGACAGTGGTCCATTGCAGTCCTCGTATGATGAACGTGTAAGGTTTGGGCCGGTCTGTACTCATGATCTGACACCCCTTAACAGTGAAGTTGTTGAGAGGATCTGTCGGACCCTCGGGTTTGTTCTTGTAGCCGATGAGACTGCCATCCTCCAGTAACAGGAAGTAACGTGACCTCCAGTTCTTAATATGCTCGCCTGTACGTCCAAGAGTTATATTAGTCATATACACCTAGTCTGATTAACTCATCAGTTTCACATAAATTATTTTGTATTACATGACAAATTATCCTAATGAATATGAAAATACCCCTACAGCAAACCTACAGACTAATGAATTTTTTATCCGTCTTATTGGCATTTTTTAAGTTACTAAGATTTTTCTTTAAAATACCATAACTAAGCTTTATTTATACAACATATCCGGTTTACTGAAAACCGCTTTGATTTGCTACTACGAAAAAGGGTAATTTTTTTTCAAATTGTTTGTATTAACCGAAATAATTTAAATAGCCTACATTATAGCTTGAATAAAAATAAATAACATACACATACAAAACAACTTAACTCTTACCGGTCCCCGGACTATTGGAAGATATATCCGCCAACATTTTATGCATAGCAGACGGTAGGCGGATATATCCGCCAATTATTATGACTATTATGAGTTATTATTATAGTTGATGGTCTTTAACATCATTAATATTCATAAACACGCCCACAAATAATAAACGTTTGTATTTTTAAATGTATAATTTATAAACCAACAGGTTCACAAAACATATAGGTACAACTTGTGTACAGATGTGATATGAATGCAACAGAGAGCAAAGATAACAGAAGTGAAGGTGCACTCTTATTATGAACACCAACACATAAACATACGGTAATCAAAGTGCAAAGAGATAATTTACTGAACACTGTTTACCGGAAAATTGTTACCACACAAACTTCACATGTAGGAAAATAAATTAGTACTAATAAATTCTTACTATACTATATTCAGGGGAGCGAGCTGGCGTAGTGGTTAGAGCGCGGGACTTTAGTCCCTGAGGTCCCGGGTTCGATCCCCGCCAAGTCACCAATGGATTTTATCTAAGTGATAATGCCGCAACCCCTAGGTCTAGCCTGAAGTAATGTGAAAAACAATCCCAGGCTCGTGCCTAGCGTCCTTAGGAAAAAAAAAAAAAAACTATAGGCTACTATATATTTAACTATAGAAGGCTATATGCTAATAAGATATTTTTAGAAATTACATGTCTTAAATTGGGGGGGGGGGGGGCTAGCTGGTCTAGTGGTTAGAGAGCGAGCTTCAGTCCCTGAGGTCCCGTGTTCAAATCCCGTCGAATCACCAATGGAGTTTATCTAAATGCTGCAACCCCTAGGTCTAGCCTGAAGTAATGTGAAAAAAAAATCCCGGGCAAAAAACTATTGACTAGGAGGTTTGGTCTAGTAAAAGTCTAAAGAAATGTGAACAGCATGGACAAGAACTAAAGAGTTTTTTTTATGACAAACAGTAATGAGGGATTTTTACAGCTGTGCTCTTATCTGATATTAGCAAAATAGTGAATCTTAAGGCAGTATTTTTTTTTCATTACCTCGTTTGAAGAGCCATCCTTCCTTGACTACGTTTGCAGGCAAATGTGTGGAAGAATTCGGGAGATTCTGTAGTACTGAACTGTCAGCCATTTTTCAAATCACAACTAAAACAAACATGACAATGAATCAATCAAATCTTTCAGACAGTGTTGTACACTTAGGTATGTACAGTAGACCCCCTCTTAACCGACCCTAATGGGACCGGACCTAGGTCGGATGATTCAAAAGGTCGGATAAAACGGGCAATCCCTAATATCATAACATAATAAAGTGCTATTCATTTGGAATTATATATTCATTATTTTGAAGTCATACTTGCATTATTTATCAAATAAACTACTCTTATCTCCTTTTTCATATTGATAGAAATGTCACAAATAAACACAAAACACGGTTAAGTCAAATAGGCCTACTTTTTAGTGAATCTATATAATTAATACGCTACATGAAACTTTGTCGGTTGAACTCCTCCGCCACTTCTTAACCGATTTTATCCATTGACGTCTCATTGGAAAGAGCGAGTCGCGTAGATTTGCAAACTGGCCTTACATTTTTGAAAAGGTCCCTTGGGCTCTGCCCCAGTGGCTTTGAAAGTTCCCATGTTATCCGTATGGAGAACATAATTGTTTACATTTTGATCAGCTGTATTATTTAATTGCTGTTATTTATTTTTCAATTCAATGAAACGCATTGAGTACATTTATTTACTATTTGAGTTTGTGTGAACATAACCACCAAAACGGATCATGTTGGTATGGTTGTATCTTAAATTTGTGTATTTATCGTTGTTTTGTGTCGCTATGACGGATCGTGTTAGCATGATTTTAACTTAAATTTGTATTACCATTATTATTATAATCTTATTTACAACCAAGTATGGTGCACAAACTTTAGGATTATTTTAGTATCATTTTATGTATCTACATTGAGTTAATAAATAACTGAACATACTCCTCCTTCGTCGAATATTATGTTTTTCCACAGTTGCATTAACATAGACAATTTTACAAGTTTTTGTTTTTGGTGTTGTTAAAGATTAATGCTCAAATCTCCATTTTGTTGGTGTTTGAAATCTAATTTGTGAACATCCTTGAAGTGCTCATTTGGAGATTTATATTTTATTTCTTATTGAGCGAAGCGAGTGAAGCTACGTCGACTCTTATGCATTTCGTAATACGCAAACTCTTCCTAGACGGCTGAATCAATCGTTTTCAAATTTTGCATAGTGATAAGGACCATATCGGTGAGTGCCAACATCTATATGGCGTTAAAAATGTCTCTCAGGAATCCGCCCCACTGGGTCTCAAAGTTGCAATGTAATCCTTATGGAAGCAGTATTTGACACATAAACAAAGACATATGATCAGCTGTTGACTTTTGAATGCAGTAGATAAAGAAATAGCTGATAGCATTATTTCACAGATATTAGAACATGGATCATAAATATAATCAAATGACGACTAGCTTGAGGTTCGTTACGTAGGAAGTGGTGAAGGAAGTAGTAAAAGTGAGCGGTCTGGAGTGTGGAAACTGTTTATGACGATAAAATTAAGGTATCTGCATTCCTAAAATTCTTTAGGAAGGGAGGAAAACAGGTCCACGACGTAGGAAGTGGTGAAGGAAGTAGTAAAGGGCAGTTTTTTCGGAGTGTGGGAACTGTTTATGACGATTTTAAGGGATCTGCAATCCTAAATTCTATGGGAAGGGAGGAAAATAGGTCTGAGACGTAGGAAGTGGTGAAAAAAGTAGTCAAGGTGAGCATAGTGTGAGAACCATGTGTGGCAGTTAGATTAATGTATCTTCAATCCTAAAATGCTATGAGAAGGGAAGGAAACAGTCCCACGACGTAGGAAGAGGTGAAGGAAGTAGTAAAGGCTGACAGTGCAGGGTGGGGGAACCGTTTGCTCAGTTAGATAAATGTATCCGTGATACTTTATGCTATGAGTAGGGAAGGAAACAGGTCTATGACGTAGGAAATGGTGAAGGAAGTAGTAAGGCTAACAGTGCAGAGTGTGGGAACTGTCTTTGACAATTACATTAATGTATCTGCAATCCTAAAATGCTATGGGAAGAGAGGGAAACAGGTCCACGACGTAGGGGGTGGTGAAGAAAGTAGTAAAGGTGAGCAGTGTTGAGTGTGGGAATGGATTAATGTATCAGCAATGCTAAAATGCTATGGGAAGAGGCTGTAGACTGTAGGTTAAAATTATTACGAAGCACGAATCGATACATATTTTCGATACATGCAATCGTTTACAATCGAAATTTACAACTGGGTTGACAACAGCTGATTTTTACTCCATAGAGGTTAAAAACGATTTTTACTCCCTAAAGAGTAAAAATGCTACTTTAGACCCGCAACGCATGCATTACAAACGACCGTTTTTACTACAGTATGACAAAGAAATATAATATGAACCCTTGATGACTACGCTCAATTTTGTGGATGCCTCTGCGAACGCCACCTAGTATATTATAATACTAGACAAAAGTTAATTAAATTCCTATTTTAATAACTTTACTGGTAACTGTAATGTATTAATTAATGCTTTCCAAATACATCGTAATACAGTAAAGAACCTTTTGTCGTCATTAAAGATACAAGCGACCATTTTGTTACAAGATAGGACGTTTATTTATAGCCTCTCACTGGAGGCTCGAGGCACAAAAACTATCTTGACCTTGGAGTTGTTAACACCCCTTCCCTGCCCTCCCTACAAGTTGCTAGTTTGTTTACTCCAGCGATAAGATAATCAGTTCTCAAAATCGTAACGCACATTATGATGTTATAAATTTGCCGCACAGATAACAAATCAGATCAGATGTGCTCGAGCTACGAACGATGATGACAAACTGACAATAGGCTATGCTATATTTTTTGTGATCATCACAAAATAACCATTTGTTAGTCATATCCTGTGGAGATAAGCGTATGGTTCAGTTCTCATCGCCCAGCGTGGGAGCGGAAATGCTGAGATTCCTAGAAAGCGGCGGTTAAACCGAGCTGCTCTCAAAGCAAGGTCGGTTAAAACAAACTGTATTGTTTTACGATCAAAGGCGGATAATCCGATTATCGGTTAATACGAGGTTGGTTAAGAGGGGTCTACTGTATTTTGAACTGAAATTGATTGGATGGTGAGTGTAGAATTGTAAAAAAAAACAAGTTTTATATATTAAGTAACTTATGGGTGATTATAAATTTGCCCTAAAATTACGGTGAGGAAGTTAACATAAAATACAACCTCTACAGCAAACCTGCAGACTAAGCAAATCTCCATTTACCTCCTTCGTTTGCGCAAAACAAAAAAAAACACACCTAATCCCATTCCCTGTAGCCAGGAAACATAGGAGGTAATAAGGCTAACCGACACATTAAAATCAATGTTATTGGTACTTTCCTGTTAAAAAGAACATTCTATAAATCTAGCAAGGTAAAAGGAAATTTGTTTAGTTTGCAGGTTTGCTACGGCAGAGGTAACTTATTTTGACCTTAGTCCCAACTACCAAGATTTTTTCACAGTCATTTATATATTGACAAGGAGAACTAGGTTAGCTTTGTTTTGCAATTTTTTTTAACATCAACTTACAGCAAGACTGATTGCATGTTTCCAAATAACTAAAATACACATCCATCATCGCAACTATATCACTAAAACAACAGTCTAAATTATCAAGGAAGTCTAATCACATCACAATCATGACAAGTATGAATTACGTTTATAAACTCAGTAGTCTTTGTATAATTCTATTTTATGTTATCATCATGGGTCAATTAGAGGGCCGCCTGCCACTCTTTCACAGTGCACCGAGGCGTATATGGGTTAGTTTGGATTGATCAGTTTATTCCAATGACAAACAGGATATAAGTTACTCACAATAAGTTTAACCATTCTCATAAAAAACACCAACTTAACTTATAGAAAAGAGGATCCACAGAGATACACAAATTGAAGTCTTTAAATTAGGCCTACTATAAATTTATATCATCAACAAATTACACAACATATGATCAACTTTTGTTTTACAAAAATATAGACCTAACCTGGTTTTTTACAGATAAGTTAAACTAGAACTAATAACTTAAGTTAAGCTTACTTCATTCTATTTAATAATATAGCCTATTGTGGGTTCTCTGAGGAACCAGTACCTGCTAAAAGCAAAGAGGGATTCAAAATTTAGATTTTATTACAGATTTATATTGAGGAAAAAATAAAAATGGCAAATGTGGTACCAAAGTGATCATTAGATCATCTACCCCGATCATGTTAAGATTGTGGTTTAACATTAACAGGTCGTGAGTGATGAATCATCATCATATGTCAATCATCATCATATGCCAAAACTGTGGCAAAATTTATAGCATCTCCTGCAATTAGCTTTTTCAATTAGCTATTAGTATGTCAAATCAATAGTTTGTTGTAATGGTTGAACAGTAGGTAGTTGTAGGGGAGAAAGTGTATATAGATTAGAGCTCTTAATTAATTAGTGCTGTAAATTTGCCAAATGAATAGTTATGTTTATTCTTGACTTGACACAATTCATGTATAGAAATGTACTGTTTGAATAAAGGATTTTTTGATTTGATTTGAATCTTTAAGACAATGAGATCCTTCTGCCTATCAATGCCACTAACGCGGCAAAATGGTTGCTTAAGTTAGCAACCAAAAAACCTAAATCGACATTTAGCCTATCTTAAATTCCCAGCAAGTTCAAGTAGGTCTATATATTTTAAGTAGAAACCAGTCAAACAAATAAGTTACCGTAACCGACTTTAAAACTGATTTTTTCCCATCCCAGGCCTACCTTTTACGTACTTAGGCTATGTACATGTTTCAACTTATTTTGCCTTATTCAGTAGGCCCAAGTTATTGTTTCAGTTTCATTAAGCAGTGTTAACCCTAGCAGTGGCCAATGTTAGAAGTGTGGTCCGGCCAGCCAATTTTGGCGATTTTTCAGACCTTTTTTGGAAAATTCTTAAAAATTCAACCGTAGAAGTAAACTTAGCCAACCTCATATTCGTTTTGTTTGGAAAGAAAAGGAGATTCTAGAAATAGTACCTAATATAATAATGATATTGAAAGTTTTTTTTCTCGGTAAAGTGAAA